TTTGGAGGTTGTGATGAGATTTGGAGGCTGTGACATCACTTCTGGGCGGCACACTAGAAGTCCCTACAATCTCTATGGTCTTTTTGCATAGAGATTGGGGAAATTCCTCAAATGCCATCATCCACACGATTCCCCCCTGCATTTTCTCTCCCCACCCCTCAAGTAATTGCGGGACGGGGGACTGGGACCAGGGCGGAGGGAAGCAAGGCTATATAGAACAGACACATTCCAAGCTTCCCACTGCTTTGGATGTCTTTGGGCTTCAATTCAATGTAACTTGGTGCTCCCCATCTTCCTTATCCCATCAACTGCAAGTGTCTTAAACCAACCAGGATGCCCAGGAACAGCTGCTCGGGCCGATCTGCTACAACTCTGTACCCACTCACAAGGCCCTGGAAGTAGGGAGACAATCCCGCGTGTTCAGAGGGAGCCCAAACTCGCCATGTTGACCATTTTCTGTCTTGTAGCAACACAGGCATCACTTGATGTATTAAACTTGATGTATTAAACTTTGCCTCTCTGGGCAATGGCATTCAACATTTTAAAAATAAATAAAGTACCATCTCATGTTCTTTCACTGCCTTTGCAAAATCTTGCAAAAAATATGTGGAGCAATGGGAAACGCAGAATGCTCCAGTTGGGGGAAAGGGCATTTTAAAGCTTTTTTTTTTTTTAAATGGCATTTCCAAACTAAATAAATCATAATTAAGGTATTTAAAATAGTATAGCCCGCATTCCCCCCTCCCCAAAACAAGATGCAAGGAAACGCTACTTTGTGTGTAAAAAGGTAAAGGTTCCCTTGCTCGAAAGCCAGTCGAATCTGACTCTAGGGTTGCGGTGCTCATCTCCGTTTCAAAGCCAAAGAGCCAGCGCTGTCCAAAGACATTTCCGTGGTCATGTGGCCGGCATGACTAAACACCAAGGCGCACGGAATACTGTTATCTTCCCACTGAAGTGGTACCTATTTATCTACTTGCAATTTCTTGCTTTCGAACTGCTAGGTTGGCAGGAGCTGAAACTAGAGACGGGAGCTCACTCCGTCATGCGGCAACTCGGATCTCGAACTGCTGAACTACCGACCTTTCACAGCCTGCAGTTCAGCGTCTTAACCCCTTGAGCCACCGTAGCTTCACCACTTTGTGTGTACCATCTCACATATCCACAAAATTACAACAAACATTACCTTAAAGAGACCAATGAATACGCAGGGATAAGCATCAACAGTTCCTCAGCTCCCTTTTACACCTTTTCCGAGCAACTGACAAGAAAGTGATCCTCTGACCTTTTTCCAGGAAGCCATTCCACAGTGGAAAATTATAGTCTATACCAGGGATGTTGAACTCATTTGTTAGATGGGTCAGATGTTACACTAATGGAACTTTGTTGGGCCGGGCCATGTTTGTCATAAAATGTAATACCAGGTAGCGGAGATAAAAGGACATAAACAACACAATTAAAGATGCAGTGCAGCACTGGGCTGATGCCCCCATACTGCCTGGAGTGGGGAGCAAACCCTTTCCCCAGCCTGTTTTCATGGTGAATACTCTGAGCCTAAAACCCAGGGGAAAACATGAAATGGCTGGGCATTGCAAGCTTCCTTCCCCCCTTGGGCTACTCAGAGTGGCAGTGGCTCTCCAGGGTCTCAGGCTGAAGTCTTTCTCATAATAAGCCACAGCCTGGTTCTTTTAACTGGAGGTACCACAGATAGACCCACCCGGCTCCTTAGCTCAATGAACACAAGAGAAAAGCCTCTACCGAGAAGCACAACTTTTGCAACCAAGCCCCCTCCCCCTCAGCCAGCAAACTTCAGCAAATAAACAACTCTAGCAGACCCACATGGGCACAGAAGAAGCCTGCAAAGACAAGGGAAGCTCAGCAGTCCCGCCCTCTGCTCTCTGCACTCAGAGGCAGCTCAGAAGGGCCAGGACAGGCAGAGGCAGGAGTGGGAGGGGAGGGGGGAGAGAAGAGAGCCGTGGGCCGGATTAAAGCCCCGGATGGGTTGGTTCTGCCCTGCGGACCATATGTTTGACATCCCTGGTCTATACAGAGAAAGCTGAAGGCTGGGCTGAGGCTATTCTTACTAAACTACACAAGGGGACAATCAGCAGAAACTGCTTGGGGGACCTCAACTGGCACATAGTTTGATACAAGATATTTAAAATTTAAAAGGCACAATATAAGCAGACACACTCACAACAAAACTTATAGCAAATTATAGGCAGAAAAGAAGGGAAAATATTTTGGCACCAGCTATCAAAAGGTCACGAAGAGTCGGACTCGACTGTGCGACTGAACAACAACAACAAAAAATCAAAAGCATAGTAAGAGGGAAGGGAAAAGGTCTAACACTGAAAGCCCCTCCCAGCCATCAACCCAGCCCCTACAATAGATGGGACTTGAAACAGGACTTTTGATCAGAGATTCATACAGGACGAATTGTTCCATAAGATAATCAGGATCCAAAGTGATCTCCTGACAGTTGAGCAGTTCCTCAGTGGAACAGGCTTCGGGGGGGGGGGGGCTCTCCTTCTTTGGAGGTTTTCAAACAGAGGCTCGATGGCCATCTGAAGCCAATGTGGATTCTATGTGGATTCTGTGAACTGAGGCAGACCATGAGAGGGAGGGCAGGGAGGGTTGCCTCAGGGCTTAGTTTTCGTGGCCCTTTCTTATACGCCCAGGGAAATGCAGATCACCACTTTGGGGTCGGGAAGCAATCCTGGAGGGTTTTTGTCATGTTCTGGATGTGGAACAACGGTCACTGGGTGTGTGGAGGGGGAGATATTTCTGAATTTCCTGCATTGTGCAGGTGGTTGGACTAGATGATCCTGGAGGTCCCTTCCAACTCTTATGATTCTCTGATTCAAGGCTTTCCTTTCTGGGGCAATTTTGAGTGGAAAGAAAATGATCCTCAAGAGAAGGACATGGGCCATGGTTTTCAAGCCACACCCAGCTCTCAAGCTGATAAAACAAAATTCTGTGCAATTCTAGAAACTGGATGGAAATTATTTATTCACAGCAACTGTGCTCCAAGGCTGCAGTGAGGATCCCCCTCCCCCCCCCGCACACACACTTTCTTCCTCACAAACATTGGGAGTGGACATGACAGTGGCAGCATCTGCCTCCCACTCAAGACAGGGCATCGACAGGGATTCAGGAGTGGTCACAACTGCTGGTGGCGGCGGTGGGGGGGGGATGCTGTGGGACAAAAGTCCACGAGTTCTGGTGGAGCCCTGGGTGGGAAACTGGTCAAGGAGCAGATGGCATACAGCTTCAAATTAATCAGACCCTGGAGGAAGAGAAGGACTGGGGTGGCAGGAATGACAAGGGCCATCCTCCCTCCCACATTCATGATGCACTCAGAGATGGCCAATCAGAAGCCTTTTCCTGCTCAACGCAAGTCTCCCCATCTGTTTTCTGGCGATAGTGGAGTTGGGGCTGGGTGGAGTGAGGTCAAGCTCATGGTGGGGAGCTGGCTGGGACAAGAGGTGAATAAGGAAGGGGCCGGACGTCTTCGTTCGTCCGATTTTGGCGCGCTCCTCTTCTTCGGCTGCGCGGAGCCGTTTAAAAGCGCGCTGTGTTGCCGCCGCCGTCTCTGCTAGGGTAGTCGGGGAGACACAAGCAAGCCCGGAGGGCAAGTTGGACCCACTGTCGGCCGCCGTCGCGGCAATCTCTGCTTCTTCCTCTCCGGAGGAAAAGCCGTTGGAGTGCTCTTCGGCCGACCGCATCGTCTCTGGCCGTTTGCACCTCAGCACTCAATTCGCGGCGCGAGCCCTACTTAGACTTGACTCACGCCGGAGGGACAGGTAGAATAAAGGAAGAATTTAGCAGAAGAGAGCAGGGATTAGAAGTAGATAGTTCAGGATAAAAAAGGAAGGAAAAATCTGTAATGAAGAACTCTGTGAAAGGTAGAGCCTAAACTTTCACTGCTGCTCCCTATGAGGCAGGAATAGAACTGAGGGGCTGGGCTATTCCCAAGGCGCCAACAGGAAGGAGAAAAAAGTGTTTCCTGCCTCCCTAAGGAATGATGGGAATAACCCATGGAGATGTCCTCCGCCTCAGTGGGAGAATGACAAGGGCCATCCTCCCTCCCACATTCATGATGCACTCAGAGATGGCCAATCAGAAGCCTTTTCCTGCTCAACGCAAGTCTCCCCATCTGTTTTCTGGGGATAGTGGAGTTGGGGCTGGGTGGAGTGAGGTCAAGCTCATGGTGGGGAGCTGGCTGGGACAAGAGGTGAATAAGGAAGGGTTTGAAAACAAATGACAACCGTTGTGACTGCAAGGGAGGGAGACATGTCAACTCACAGGCACATGATGACTTTGAGAATGCTCACCATCCCCAGTGTAAACAAAACCGGGTAAGACGACCCCCCCACCCGGTCTTGATACCCCACTGCCGCCGAGTGCAAGAATGATACACTCTCCATTTCCCTAACCCATGTCTAAGGCAGAGGGATACAGAAGCCACAGGCCTGGCTGTTACAAAGACTGCGCTCTCATCTCTGCCAATGATCGGGTATCACATAGACCTGAAAGTATTTTTAACATGCCAGGCATTTGGAAAAAACGGGTTCCTTCCATATCAGGAGAAGTCAAAGCAGAGAGGAGCTGACCGAAGCAAGTGACTTCTCATTCCATACCAAGAGAACTTTCCGAGACCTGAAGGAGGAACACCCCTCTCTGTGATACTGAGTGCTCAGCAGCTCGCCCCCAAAATCTGCTGGAATAAGAGTCCAACAAACTCCGTCTTTCACTGAACGCTGAGTCACAAGGCACATCTCTGCTTCTTTTAGCCAGGGGAGCCGCCAACAGCCTTCTTGCTGGCCACAGGGGATCCAATTACCGATCCCCTCTTTTGAGCCAGAAAATCACTTGCGCTTAGTCAAGTTATACACAACACTAATCCCACAGTCCAGAAAAGATCCCGCAACTGGCCATCACCAGGCCCATCTAAAGCGGAAAACGAACCTCATCGCTGTAGATCAGTTGCCCCCTCTTACCTCTGTGTCTGTTGGTGGTCTTGTCAAACATAAGCATGGCATCCTCTACCTGCCAAGACATAAAAGGAAGGAAGAAGCTTAACTCAGTGTTCCTTAAAAAAACCATCTTACAATGTTTAAAATCAAATTAGGAAGTGATCAAGGAAGTACGTGAGCCAGGAGGCCAGGTCCTCAGGACACAACACAGGGCCGCTTTGCTGAAGCCAGGTGGGTGTGGACAAGGACGGAAATCTTTTTTCATTCTTTTTTTTTTTGCCACCAAGTCAAGCTGACTTCTGCTTGCCACTGCCTGCCTCTGCGTCACGACCCTGGTATTCCTTGGAGGCCTCCCGTCCAAGTACTAGCTAGGGCTGGGCCGACACAGCTTCCGAGATGATGAGACAAGATCAGGCCTGCCTGGGCTATCCAGGGCAGGGCAGGGCAGGATGGAAATCTTGATGGCAGAACATTGGGAGCTCCATGGAAGAGGAATGTCTGCACATAGTAAATAAACATTTTTGGTAGGGACACCTGAGAAAGGAGATCTCAAGCCTCTCCTCCTCCACATGACATCAGGAACCCACAAAGCAGTTGTGACTGCATCTGGACACACGAAACGAAAAACAACGGAATTTCATGAAATCAGCAAGTGACACTTATGAGCATGACTGCATCACAGTGTAGAGCATGCTGGGTCCGTTATTCCTGGGAGCATATTTGGGTTCCAAGTGCCTCACCCTTTTCATCCAAAGGGGGATATTGTTATGGTGTCTCCTGAGATCCATGTTCCCTCTGCAAACACCCCAGCATGTCATCCTGCATTTATCTGAACTTGGATCACACTGGTAGGTCACCAGCACCCCCCTGACACATGACACCTATCTCACAGTATACCCACACAAACCTGGGGCAAAGGTAGGAAGACTGGCCCCAGAGATTCGCTGGGCACTGTCCAAGACCCACAGAAGAAAAGATAACACCCTGTAATCAATGGAAACCCAACAGCTGCAAGACTCAATGGAACCTGAACCAGGAGCAGGCAAGACGGGTTAGGAATTCTGCTGCCAGGATCCTGCAGGCATCCCGCAAGGAGGGGTGCCCCCCCCGCCCAATGGAGTGGCAGCTTTCCCCCTAGCTTTCCATTCCAGAGAGCCCGCTACAGAGAGACCCTCTCACTCCTGTCCAGATCAGCTTAAGGAAGCACAGCTTTTCATGCAAAATTGATAACCCTAGAAAAGATGGTGAAGAGGCCCGATTGCTCTGCCAGCTCACCTGGGGGGCTGGCTGCAGGAAAAGGCAATGTGGTATAGTGGTTAGCATGTCAAGACTAGAACCCTAGAGAACCAGGTTCTGATCCCCACTCTGCCGTGGAAGCTTGCTGGGTGATCCAGTCACACAGTCTCAGCCTACCTCGCAGGGTGGTGGTGTTGCAAGGACAAAACGGGAGAGGGGAGAATTGTGTAAGCCGCCTTGGGTTCCCCCTGGGGAGTAAGGGGGATATTAAAGGAAGTAAATAAATAATAAAATAAATATAAAAGGAGGGGGGGTGGGAGAAAGAGGAAAAGCACAAATGTTAAAAACTAAAATCTGAAGCAACTGCTGTTTCTGGTGCAACTGGAGGTGTCTGTTGTAGCTAGCAGAGCCAAACCTCATGACATCTGCAGGACATCTCCTTTGCTCCATCTTAAGTCCTACTCATGGGAGACCTATTTATTTATTTATTGGCTTTATATCCTGCTCTCCTGCAGTGATGTGGGCTCAGAGCGGGTAACATCATATTAAAATCAATAAATGCAATCAGGATATTAAATTAAACATTTTAAAAACTGAACAGTTAACATATTAAAACAATACAGTGTTAAGCTAATCAGATGGTGCAAAATCATCATACCTCTCTGGATGATTACAATTGTACCATACCAGGCAGAGGGAGGGAGGGAGGGAGGGGGAGAGAAAAGGGGAGGCCTAAATTAGACGGATCTCAGCTGGGGCCATGGCTAAAGCGGCTCTAGATTTACCTGAAGTCAGTCAGGTATTCCGTGGGCCCAGAGTCACCACTGTATTGGTATGTGATGAGCACAATACTCTTGGGGGGGGGGGTATGCCAGGAGAGGCAGTCCTGCAGGTATGTTGGTCCCAAACCATATAGGGCTTTAAAGGTTAAAACCAGAACCTTGAACTTGATCCAGTATTCAGTCTGGAGCCAGTGCAGCTGGCAAAGCGCTGGGAGAATGTGGGCTCTAGCTGGGTTTCCTGCAAGGACACACACAGCTGCATTCTGGACCAGTTGAAGTTTCCGGGTCAGTCTCAAGAGCAGCCCTACATAGACCGAGTTACAGTAGTCAAGCCTGGAGGTGACCGTTGCGGGGATTCAGTGGCTAGGTTGGGGTGAGACCGGAAGGGAGCCAGTTGCCTAGCCTGGCATTAGTACACGTGCTTTACTATTGGCCTCCATTTCTGTTAGACCTCCAGCCTGAAGAAGGGGTGTCATGAATACAAAAGCTCACTCAGTACTGTGTGAGAAAGGCCTTGGTCTGCCATTGCCCTTGGATCAAACCCTTCCTGAAAAAGGAGCAGCCCTCTGCCAAAGCCTCCTTTGTCTGGGAAAGCTCTCCCGAAACCCAAGTCCCCTTCTCCTAAACATTAGGAAGAACTTCCTGACAGTTAAGAGGGGTCCCTCAGTGGAACAGGCTTCCTTGGGAGGTGGTGGGCTCTCCTCCTTTGGAGGTTTTCTAACAGAGGCCAGATGGCCACCTGAGAGCAATGCTGATTCTGAGGACTTAGGCAGATCATGAGAGGGAGGGCAGGAAGGGTTGCTATCAGTGCTTAGTTCTTGTGGCCCTTTCTTACACGCCCAGGGAAATGCTGATTGCCACTTTGGGGTCAGGAAGCAATTCTTCTCCAGGCCGGTTTGGCCAGGGATCCCAGAGGTTTTTTGTCATCTTCTGGGCATGAAGCAGGGGGTCACTGGGCGTGTGGGTTTGTGAATTTCTCGCATTGTGCAGGTGGTTGGACTAGATGACCCTGGAGATCCCTTCCAACTCTATGATTCTATGATTCCTCTGTGGCCCCCTCCCCATCTGCTCAGCCACTGGGGGAGAGTGGAGCCACAGCCTGGAAAATTTAGCCACCAAACCCAGCAAGATTCCAGAGGAGTGCCTGGGAGGGGAAACCTGCTCAGCCACAAAGCCCTTTTGAAAAGCAACAGGAGAGGAGAGAAGGCAGCCCGCGGGGGTGGGGGTGGGGGGGTGTCACATTTGCATCAGTTCCGGCTTTCCACTTCAGAGAGGAGAAGGGTCTGACTGACTAAACATATCCCAGTGTGACAAAAATGGCTTTCAAGTTTCGCTGGGATTTGTGTGATTTATTCTGCCTACTTTTAATCTGTGCAGCCACACCTAGATCCAGCACTGGTTCTCAAGAGGAAGAGAATGCTCCCGTAGAGGTCTTTTCATCTGCATCCTTCATCTGCACACACACACACACACACACCCCTGGGGGCTGCCCCAGCTGAGCATGCCGGGAATCTCATCAGCCAAATGCTCTGCCCATAAAGAAGTCTCCAAAGGAATTTGTCTAAAAACAAGTCGTTTCACGTGAACTGTCTCCAACAGAAAGGAGATTCAATAAAAAGAATTAGATTTTGCCTGGTCACGTTTCATTTGGCTCTGTAGATGGACACAACTTTGTTTGATCTTGAAAGACTCAGGACCAAACTTGACGTAATGGAGACCATGAAGATGACAAGGCCCCTTTAAAGTGACAAGAGGACCCGATCCTGATGGGACCTGCAGGGTGCGGCTGAAGCACTCCTGTTTCCCCCCCCCTCCACCGTGCCTTATCAAGAGCCAAAATGGTCGCTGCCCCCCACCCCCGGCCGTCTTGGCACTGGTACTGCACCGCAGGCCTGATCAGGATTGGGATGCGTGGGGGTGGCATCCTTGTGGCAGCCATGAGGACATCATCACGCCTAGTTTGGCCCTCAAAAAGTGGAGAAGTCAAGGCTCATGAAACACTTACGAAGCTGTGCATGGGATAGAGAAGGTAGAGAAAAGAGTGCTTTTCGCTGTTTCTCACAATACAAGAACTTGTGAGCAGCCCTGCAGCCAGAAACCTTTCGGCGGGGGCACATGCCCGACATGGTGGCATCACTTGTGATGTCACCAGGAAGTAATTGGACAGCGGGCGGGCTTTCCTTCGCCCTCCCCGTTTGTGGCAGCTCAGGAGCCTCCTGTGCGCCGGGAGCGGTGAGGGACAAGGCGAGCCGAGGAGGCAGGCAGGGCAGGGCAGTGGGCGCTGAGCACGAGGAGGAGTCATGATGCCCCTCCTGCCTCCTGGGCTCTCCCTCAGCAGCAGCGCAGTGGTGCAGGCGCAGTGAGGCCTCGGAGGCAGGCCATGCTGCTGCTGGGGAGCGCCAAGGAGGCAGGCAGGCACGTGTCTTTGCCGATGGGGCTCCTGGGGGTCAGGGGAGGGAAGGGAGGGCTAGGGGGTCATCTGTGGGGGGCACTGTCTGCAAAAACGCCCCCCCCATGGCTACAGGCCTGCTTCTGAGCACTCAATGAAATGAATGAGCAGTAAGTTTAGAACATGTGGAATTCACTGCTGCAAGAAGTGGTGGCGGCAGAAGCACAGACATCTTCAAGAGGAGATTGGATAAACATATGGAGCAGAGGTCCATCAGTAGCTATGAGCCACAAGGCATAGATGGAACAGGGATACTCTGTATTCTTGGTGCTTAGGGGGCAACAGTGGGAGGGTTTCTGGAGTTCTGGCCCCACTGGTGGAGCTCCTGAGGGCACCTGGGTTTTGGCCACTGTGTGACATAGTGTTTATTTGTTTGTTTGTTTGTTTTGTTTGATTTGTATCTCGCGCTCCCCACTGAGGCAGGCTTTGGGCAGCTTACAGGCATGTATACAAATATAGTAAAACATAAAATATTTTAAAACAGATAAAACAGTTAAAACCATCACAGTTTCAAGCAAATACAGGTGATAGGCGATGGCGGCATTCTTTTGGTTCTTTCTTTTCAAAGTGTGCACATTTTAAGAAACTAAAATGTGCACACTTTGA